GACCAGAAAACGGCTTTTCCCGGCACCTCCCGCTTGTAGAAGAAGATCTTGGAGGTGGCCGTGCGACCCTGGCAGACGTAGCTTGTCCACCCACCCAACCAGTGGAGAGTGAAATGAAACTGAGCTTGTCCACCTGACCCCCCGACGTCAGGTCATTGTTGGACTGCAACTGTGTCGGTGGGGTGATCCGAAACTCCAAGTGCTTCGATACCACGATCGACTCAGACAGCTTCACTTGGTGGGCTCAGCGTCGAATCAAGTGGAGGTCGAATCACCTATAGAGACGAGCTTCGTAGCTGCGACTCACCGCATATCTGCATTTATGATTTACAAATTACAAAGGTGAGTTGAAGAGTTTTCAACGGATACTATTTGGGGCGCCAATATGATACTGAAATTAGTCAGCGTTTCCACTGCCAATGGCTTCCAAGCCGACTCTTCCAGTCAGATGTGACACCAGGCTAGCCTAGTATGGTGTTCTTGATCCTGGCAAAAGCACAGATGGTGGGCCAGGGGCCTGAAACGGTCCCACTTTCTTTCGCGATCCGGGCGTTTGCAATCCGACGGTGACGTGACATCCGACGGTGACGTGACGTGACGCGTTGGCGAACTACATCGGTCGTTCCATTTCCCGAGGTTCGGCTCGGACGCCTAAACAACCACCTTCTCTCTTAGAACGACAAGGATCTGCTCTACGAAGTTACTATACCCAGCCGAAACAGGTTGACAAAATTATACGTCCTATAGAATCATTATAGGTAGTAATGGTGCTGAAACATGTGCTGAACATTCTTCCCCCATTCGGAGGTGAAAACGCTTGGAGATACCGACCATGATATCTTAATGGTGACTCAGGGGTCACGGTTGGATCATCCAACCCTCATTTCGGACGCTTTTTTCCGCGATTGAAAGCACACTCTCAGGCGCACTCTTATGGTCACTGATCGATCCATGTGTTCACTCCCCTTTGCTCATAGACAAGCATGATGACCATGACCATGACCATACATGATTTGTTGAATTCAATTCTCACAATATCTCACAATGATTCCTTTGTGATCTTTTGTGTTACAAGGTTCGCACACATTCGCATACCAAGGTCCTAGACCATGTCATAAAACTCTGTGCACGTGGTGTCTTTGAGGTTCCAAGCGGATCCAAATGGTTTCAGGTTTTTAGGGTTGGATCCCCTACCGTAAGTCTTTGGGATGTTGGGTCTGTGTCACAGCCGAGATATACCTCTGTTCAACCACTGCTTCTTCTGTCTGGACGATCACAACAAGAGTGCTCTGTTCTGCCGGTCGCGTTTGCGAAACTTGGCCAAACTCTGCGGCAAAAAGGACCAACAGGGAAAACCAACAATGGTCACCACTTTGGTATGTGTTCAAATGTTACAAAGAAGAATTTCGCTGCTCACGGATTTAACATGATTCAACATGCTCGAACCCGTTCACGTAATTAGGGGTCCAAGGGGTCTGCTTTTCAGCCATGGGCAGGTCAAGAGACCCCAAAGCACCCAGACCAAACATCCCCAGCTAGGCCAATGCGGTTTCCACTAGCGCCCTCCACCCCGGCCCCACCTACATTCTACCTACATCCCTCGTGCATCCGTGTTCCATGGAAGGTCTTTCGAGTGGATGTTCGTTTTTGTTTGGTTCCACCAGGCCTCTGGCCACCACTCAACTCATCATCGGTTTCGTTCACGGTTCGGCCGTTTCGCATCAAATGAAAAACAATGTCAACGGGTGGAACGGTGGGTGAACCCAAACAAATGTGGGCCGTTTTGGTGTGGAACGGAAAAAACGAACATGAATGGACGTAATCTGGAAAGAAAAACTACCAGGACCCCCAGGCCGGGTGGTTAATGGACACCCCGAATCACAGCTAAGGGGCTATACAATGCTAAAAATAGACACCCCGACAGGAGGGTCCTGGTATACCATGGTTTGGTGTTGCAAATGTTGCGGCCTGATTTCCGCTGCCTTGCTGGCTTGTGTTTCAACACAAGACTATCCGGAAGCAACCTGCACGGTACAGGTTGGGAAGATTAGCAAAAAAACACAGTATACAAATGTATACAGTATACAACCTCATACAAACCCATAGTGATTAACCAGCTACGTATCCACCTTATGTATATCTGACTTAACAACCCGCTTCTTCAAACGCTTTGGCTTGGCCAGCGGCATCTGGCTTGACAATCGTTCTAAACACTTGGGTACGCCCGCGTCATGAGGGATGGGAGCGGCGATGAGCAGCGATTCTTTGCCAAACCAACATCCTCGAGACGCACCTAAGCCTGGTGCATGAACTGTTGTTTACCCTGCCAACGTAAGTGGAACATGACCACCGGAAATCGGTAACAATTTTCCGGGCCCGGGGGTTGTCCATGTCCATGTTTGGAGAGAGGGTAATAAAGCACCCCCCCCGTATGAAGATGATGTAAACAAATTGTGAAGCCATTCTTCAGCTGGTAGGGATTGAATAATCAACAGATCGACATTTATAGGCTTGTGCCACTGTGCCTGACATATATCATTTGGGTAGCTTATGGTAGCTTCGCCACTTCGTCCTTTTCCTGGCTTGCTTGTGCAGCTAGTGCAGCCCAAAGCAAGATACAGTCGCTATAGGAGGTTATCTCTGATGAGACTGGGAAGGTGGGCTGGATTCGATGTCCGAATCAGGAGCGCGAGCTGTGCTGCCGCTTCGTGCGGACCAAGACCTGCCAAGACCTCCAAGACAGGGTCCAAGTTTGGTTGATCTGTTTTTTTCTACCAGGAGTCACAAAGGGGTGGTGTTTAGTCCCTAAGTGAGTGGATAATGGCCACCCCTAACCTCCATTAAGCATCCCTTTGTGACTGCTGGTATGTTGTTCTTTTCGGGCGTGCGCATGGAAGCACTGAAGCGCTTCCAAGCATCTCAAAGCGTGTGAACACCCGCAACTCGGATTTGGGAGCATCATGCCAAAACGTTAAGGTGATCGCCAGCCTTCTAAAGCTCCAAAAAGGTGGACATTAAGTCACTAAGGCCAAACTACAACTTAGTCGAAACATAGATAAATTATATAACTCAACAGGATGCATGAATCTGAACATGTATGAACAGCCGTCTCAATTGCCTGACGCTACGAAGCTCAATTGTTGTCTGTCATCTTCTCCGCTGCAAATCCCTCAAATGGCACGGGGCAAATACCTCATGAGGCCATGCTCCTGCCCGAAGGATCTCGGGACGCGAAAACGTCGCTGCCGCCGGCTGCCGCGCTGCCATTGCCAGCGCAGCAGCGGCTTTATTGTTGAGCACGCGCTTTTCTCGGGCGTCGGCGCTCTTTTCTTCGGATCCAGGGAACGCGTTCTCGGATTTGGGAACTGTGTTAGCTACACTCCAGAAGCGAACGGAGAATTGTGTCAGTGTTGTAGATGTTTGATGCTAAATCTCTCGACGTGCAGATGTTCCCAGAGTTCTGCAGAATCCTTTGCTTCCATTATGCCCACACAGAAAACCCGGCCCTGAAAAGTGGCAAAACTCTCCAAGCAAGTCCGGCCGGCTATGGTTTTTCGGGGCACTACCTGGATTGGAACGGCAAGGCTGACTTTCAGGATTTTCAGGCCATTTCAGTCACTGGATTCAACGGACTCGCCATTAAAATATCTGTCAAATAAAACATGAACAAACCACTTCCAATATTAGCTATTTCGCCAAGTTCGCAACAACCAAAAAGCACTCTTGGCGACCTGTGCGTGGGCCTCTTGGGCCTTCTTCTCGTCTCTACCGGAGTCCACCGTGGTCATCCAGGAAAATCGTACCGCAGCCATCCGCAGCCATGTGAAGTGTCCATTCCATCCTGGATCCATCAGGAGGCTCGACTCCCATCGTGCCCCCTCCACGGACGTCGGACATAGGCAAATGTCTCGTCGCCTGAGGATCTCATCCCGGTATACATCCCACGCATCGGAACGGGGCAAATCCCAAGTAGCACGCACATCGGCGATTCATCTTGCGATCGCTGGCGCCTACCTCGCGAAAGGATACTTTCGCGAGAAGAAAGGGGACCCTCGCTGGGCACCACGGGTTGACGTCCTTTTCAGCAGGTACTGTATGTATTTTGCGTTTTATGAAGTTTAAGAAGTCCCTCTCAATCCCAGTCACAGAGGGGCGGTGTTTAGTCTCTAAGTGAGTGGATAATGGGCACCCCTAACCTCCATTAAGTAGCCTTTTGTGACTGCTGGAATTTTGTTCTTGGTAATTTGGTAATCATCTGAACAACCCCTCCGTTGCGGATCTGAAAACGCCCCATGGTTCCGGGATCCAGACTTTTTGACCCCCAAAAATCCCACCACTGCTACACCCTAAATCCACCCTCTTCGGTACACTGGAGCATCTTCCCCTGGATCTCCAGACCTCCAGAAGCAGAAATTGGGTCAAAGAACATCTCGGAACTTCTGCTTGCACTCTTGAGGCTTTGCTGAAAAGGAAGTTCTCAAAAATCATGTGAGATCTTCGTTATTCATTCCGCACTGACCGTGGATTGTCCGGGCAAAGGCACTCTGGCTTGCCATGGTCAGCTTTGCAGTCGCATCGAGCATGCTAGCAGGTCATTCACATGACATGGTTGTTAGCTATTTTCACGGTCCCAAACAGAAAACACAATGGACCAATGGACCAACAATATCTATACACTCCCTGAAATAACCGTGGAAGTGGAATTAAGTGGAAAACAACCTGTTTGTAGAGGAAAGTCATGGATTTCCACCATACGGTATCTACAAAGAAAGTCGATCTGTAAATTCCGTGAAGCATTCTGGTACATCAAGTCCTGATTTTCGAGATGTTGATACTTCTAGGTGGGTCTACCATCTGTAGGGTTATATTTATTATTCTTCTTCCAAAGCACATCTCCTTAAATGGACACATCCAAAGAACAAACACATATACATACAGTTACTATCAATATCATATTAATCTAGCGCTGAACCCAAACACCACTTGAACTGTCTTTGGTTGGTGGGTGCCAGTTTTTTGCTCGAATGCACTTTTTGCAGTGGAAACTGCTTAAAACAGCTTGAAGAACTCAGCGACTGTGACACAGTCTTGCAGCCGTAGTGGCTTTTATTGAAGAGGCGTAAACAAAGGGTTCGCTTCAATTCTTCAGCTACATGAGATTCGACTGCCACATTGCAAGGGTGCTTTTCCTGTTTCTCTTCTGTAGGTGCTTCTGGTATGGGAACATTCTCCAAGCATCTTCGCTAACAGGATTGGTTATCCTTAGTCTACTGATTGGGTCTGCTAGGTGCAAGGGGTCATATATATATATATATACTGTATAAAGATATTCCTTTATTGGGGTTCTCCCATTCTTCACCAACCTGTCTTACAATCGAAAGTCCTTAAGGCAGCCCTTGCAAGCGTACCGTACGCCCTTCTCTTCGCGGTGCAACACCCCCATTGATCATAACGACTCCCTAACGTTTCTGGCCTGGGACCGTATAAATACTGTATGTCTGATTGTAGATAGGCATATGGTTCAACTAATTTGCAGCTTATACCGATACCGAACCATGATGAAAAACATCTTTATCTAACTCATGTCAATGCAATTGCAACATTTATGTAATCATGTAAGAATCTCCTGGATCGATACCCATGAATGCTATAGAACTTCCTCCAGTGTCCGACATCACTCCGGCGTCACTCCGCCACACCAGTCTCCGCCACACCGGTGCTCTTCGCAGACAGTGTGCCCGGCGAAGCGCCGCCCAGGCTCGTCTGTGTGTCGGCGCGCGACCGCAAGCCGCAAGCCGAAGCCTTGGAAGTGGAGCGACACTAGCCAGTTGGCGTGGTTTTTGTATTAAAGTTTGTTCCTTTTAACGTTTGTATAAATGTTTTATTTTCTGGTTGGGACTGGTGGATAGGAAACAACATCTGAAAGACTGATTCTACTGAACGGTTGATAAGGAATCTATAATATTATATATAATGATTCTATTTATATCATACAAGGGGTTGGCTGGGACTGTATGGACAAAACTCAAAAATATGTCAAAGGATTTATTGGACTTGGCCATATCAAAGCGGAGCTTGCAGTCAACCACCAGGATGGACGAGCGAGATGCCCTTTTCTATCGTATTTAGCACTAGCTCAAACACAATGACAAAGCCAGGCATCAATTTGGGATATTTTGGAGACACCCCCGTATGTGCAGCCCAAGAGACTGACGAAGCACGGCATCGAATTTGAGGAATTCGGAATACCCGACCGTCCAATCGCATGAACTGACTGAACCCTCACATCGGCTGCCAGAAAGGTCATGTTAGTTCCACTTGTCTGGGGTGTCCAATCATCCAATCCAAACCTGAGACTCTCCAAAACCGATCACACCAGGCACCCGAAGTGCTTCAACGAGTCCAGCACCATCCACCCCCGAAACCGAAAAGGATCAAACGAACGCTTCAAACGCCGCAGCTCAGCCCCTCGCTTCGAAGATGTTTCACCGATGAGAACCGGGGATGCCCCGGTTTAAGAGATCGCGCGTCTCCTGTGTTTTGCGTCTTCGGCCCATCAAGACCAACCGCCCGGAGGCATCACCCCCGCATCGCCGAGGCGCTGGTGTTGGTGTTGGAGCGACTGGCGCGGGGCGTCTTGGCGCTGGTAGTAGTACCTCGGAAAAAGATATAGTGGTGGTGCCAAAACTATCCAAAACTACTTGTTCGTGGTGTTTGCACGGACAAATTAGGATGTCCCCTATCGTTTTTCAGGGCGTTGGTCTTTCCAAGCAGGGAATGCAACTTGAGAAATGGCTGGTGGACGAACCGTTGGTCAGCAACGACGGGTGGGTAGCAGCAGCAGTAACAGCAGCAAAGCACCCGTAGACCAGCACCACTAGCACCCCAGGAGGGGCAGCAAGCCACTACGAGTAGCAAGGCAGGCAGCCAGCAGCGCAAGCTCAGCAGCAAGCCAGCAAGCCGCAGCAGGCAGCAATAGCAGCAGCAAAGGCAGCAATAGCAGCAGCAGAGCAGCCAGCACCAGCAAGCAGGCAGCCAGCACCAGCAAAGCAGCAAGCACCAGCAAGCAGCAAGCAGGCAGCCAGCACCAGCAAAGCCAGCAGCAGCACCAGCAAAAGGAAGCAGCAGCAGGCAGCAACAGCAGCAGCAGCAGCAGCTGAGTGAGCCACACTTCGAAAAGGTTCTGGAAAAGCTCAAAAAAGACAACAGTGACAAGCAGCTACTTTGCCATACTTCTCCATACTCATTGTGTTTGATTGAACAAACGTCTCATTGTGTTTGATTCGTTCACGTCTCACCGGCCCTCCGGCCCTCCGGACTGCGGGACTACCGGACTGCCCGAAACGCCCAGGAACGGAGCATCGTGATGAACTCGTTGCAGTCGAGCAAGGAGTCGCCGTTCTGGTCCAAGTCCTGGCGCGTGACGTGACTAGGTCGCACGGTGTACTCCTTTGGAGGGGTCGCAAGGTTTACTAAACGAGCAGAGGGCGATGGAAATCAGTGGACATCACATCTTCTGTGGATTTCTGTGGTAACTAAACTATAAATAAATACTCACACTCAGGGTTGATTGCGGTTGCAGCGTAGAAACACACACATGGGAGCCTCAAACACACGGAACCCAGAATAACCAAGATACTTAATACTTTGGGTGTTGGTGGTGTGGTTCTTAGGCGACTGTTCCAGATCAACTGCCGGCTTTACACAGTTGTTAGGTATAGTGTTAGGTTGATTTGGACAAATATGTTTAGGTCTTGTGGTGGAACCCTCTCGTCTTAAGCTGGGGTTACTCCACGGAAGCAGCCAATTCAACCAGCCCAAGTCCACATGAAAGGTCCAAGTCCACATGAACGCCCAAACGAGCTAGACATTACATTCCAAACCATTCATCAAGAACTCTGCCGCCATCCTGGCTACAGAACGAATGATCCTATCCCGCCCTTGCTCAAACAACGCACCAGGTCCAGCTCCAAGACCACATGAGCTCACGCTCCCACCGGCCCCAACCGCCGTCAATGGCGACCCAAAGCGTGCGATCACCGGGACGAGGTGAGACTCTGAGTCGTCTCGGCGTCCTCCAAGGTTTCTTTGAGTTCCTCCATGTCGACATGACCCAGCCTCGGTGGTCAGGTCGGCCAGACGGCGTCGGTGGTCAGGTGGAAAAAGTGGTTGAAACTGGTTCTGTGTTTTTATTTTTTTCAAGCGTATGGGGAAGAGGTCTGTCTCGGTCACAAAGGTGTATCTTCAGGAGTTCCGGAAGTTGGTTTGGGGTAGGGGAACAGGTGGATTCCTTGAATGGTCTTATAGCATTCCATTCGCCAATAATGTTCACAATGTTTAACTGCCAAGAACCAACAAGAACAGCGGCAACATCCAGTTGAAACAATAAAACTCTGCCCCAGTGGTTCAAATCTACTAAGTTGTCTTGACGCCTCCCCAACAAGAGGAGGACCAAAAGTTGGCACCAACATTCAAATGCCGAGTCCTACTATAGATAGATGAAAGACAAGCCTTGTTCCAGCTAGTTACATCCACTCCTGGTAGAATTAACCTTCCAAGGATCCCAACTCCCCTATCCTTCCTGGGAAAACCACACCACTTCGTCCGCCAACACTTGAACTCTTGGAGCTGGATTCGTAATACAGTAGCATGTTTGCTTCGCGCTATGAACTCAATGTCGGATATCAAGGGTTTAAAAGAAGGACTTGATCATTCTATATTGGTTGTTGCATGTGTCAAAATCTCATTCCAAAGACTCAGGCTTGGCTTCAAAGTATAGATCTATTCCTTTTGGTTAAACCATCATCGGAATTCCACGTTGAACCATATTGAACTGGCAAAGAAAATCACAGTGCTAAGCGTGCTAAGTTCTAAGGCTACGATTGGCAAAACAGAACACATGGTCACTGGGCACTGCAATCACTCCTCGACGCCCGATGCCCGACGCCCCGGGCATGCGCCCGGTGTGGAGCTCATTGAGATCTAACAGGCCATCCTGCGCGGAAACAGAAAGAAGCAGTGACTCAGGATGATGAGGAGTCTCGAGTATGTAAAAAAGAAACGGTGCTTTAGTAACAAATACTCAGTAGATCTCAGTAGTATGAACTGAAAAACTGTGCTGTTGCAAGTAGCCAAGGCTAATCTTGGCTAATCTGACCCAGCACTTGTCCCATGCTTTCCTGTGGAATTCAGGCTTGGCCAACCTCGTTCGGTCAATTGGACATCCCGCGAGCTCGGACGGCCCACCACCGGGGCCGCGGTGGGGCGTCTCGTGCGCGCCGCTCCTTGTTCTTGTCCAATGTATTGAAGGCCTCCCGGCAGACGGCATCCGTCAAGCAGGTCTTCCTTGCGCGGTTCGGGAGAGAAAGAAACGAAAACGTGAGGGTGCAGAGGGAAACGGATTCAGGTGAAGAGTAACACTCGCTTTCTAGGGCCATGGAGGGAGATGCTGGCGGGGGGCTTCATTGAATATAGACTATTTTCGACTATTTTAGACTTCTCTTTCGAAACGATTCGGGTGGAAGCAAATTCCATCGAGTTCTCCTGCATCTGCTCTGTCTGACAGTGTCTGTCTCCAATCTGTCTACCTATACAGTATACGTCTATTTGATGGGACTTCAAGACTCCATGCAGATGGGCAACACATGAACAGCTCCATGAAAACACCCCATCTGCCGTGATCCCTCAGCTCCTGCAGAATGTGGCAGCTAAGAACTCGGTGTAGCTGAAATCCTATCAGTCAACGGCGGCTGTCGGTGGAAATCCACTGCTGAGATTGGTGACTGGTGCCAAGCCGAAACATCTTCAGGGCTCAGTGGCAGGGGAGTTCAAGTCAAGCTCGACTTGTGAACCTCCTGGTCAGGCAGGGGATGATCCTTCGATACAAATAATTGTGTATGGCATGATGAGATCCAGCAGATGCAAATGGGATGAGGGCCCAACGAGATCCAGCGAAGTCACTGCATGTCACTGCAGGCAGCCGTTGCAGCCATTGACGTGTGAATATCATACAATATGGCCCGTAGGTTTTAATGGAGGCATGAAAAGCTTGCAGGTCAAGTCCTGTGAAGGTTCGAAGTCCTCTGATACTTTTTCAAGTTCGGAGCTTCCCAACAACCCCCAAGGTCTTGGACTTCAAGTCAAATGGGATAATATGACTGCAAAATAAACCGGAAGAACATATGGTACTAGCGCTGGGGTTTAGTCACCCGTGTTTGCAGAAAGTCACCCGGCCGCATGGAAACGCAGCATCATTAGTCAAAAGTCACCCGGCTCGCGAAAAGTCACCCGTTTTATGTTAAAACACAATGTAAACACTCTACGGAAGTATGTTTGTCAAAACTGCTATACATCAAGAATTCGCTGCCCCTGTGCAGGAAAGAACTAGTTGTATGTCGAAGTTTGCTGCGTTTTGGTGACCGAACCAAACAATGTTCGAGCTCCAAACAATGGTTTTGAACTGACACTCCAAAGCTTATCTCCCAATGAGGGTGACATCTTGCATCTAACCCCAATGGAAACGCAGCATCCAAACAATGTTGTTGCCCTAATGGTCTTCCAGTTATATTGCCATCTTGCATCTGACCCCAATGGAAACGCAGCATCCAGACGACTTTCTACAAGACCAAACGACTTGACACAAGTGCTTGTACCGCAGTTGTGTTAGTTGAGTCCAAGTTGAGTCCACATGCAATACTCTCCAAAAGTAATTACGATTGATTCCAAATATACTGTCTCAACTACTGTATTATTACAAGTGCTTCCCCACATGATGGACCAGTAATTACATTGAAACAAACTTAGATTGACAAATTGGTTGACAACAAGTCCAACCTAGCTATTTACGCTCCTATGATGTTCTATGTGGAGGTTGAGTACTATTTACATGAAGGTCAACACTAACTACTATGAGGAGAGTCGAATGATGTACCCCCCCCGTGCCATCCCTCCTCTACACTCCGGCTCCACCACACAACGCACCCAACGCGTAGCGGAACCAAAACGTCGACGCCGAACCGACCGCGACGCCGTATACGGCGACGCCACGGTCGCCGTCATCGGCCGTCCACGCCGCGTGCCTTCAACATGGCGCCGCTGTTGTCGGTGTCCCAATCCCGGAAGACCCCTTGGGACGTCCCGCGGTTCGAATCACTGGTCGGCCAAAAGGAGCCCGGGGAAGACCCGGTGACGCAAAGGCTTTAGGTTCGGGTTTGTTCCACCCTCGGGGCCTCCTACGTCCATCCGAATGCTTCGGGTTCGTTGAATCACTACGATGACCTGGAATCCAAATGCTTTGAAATGCAATGTTCGGGCTTTGCCAATCGATCCACACATTTGGCCAGCAAAGCAGTTCAACTGAGCTCTGTGCCCTGTCACCAATGCGACCAGCTTAGCGCAGTTCTGGTTGCACTCTTCAGGACCAAGTTGATAACACCGTAATCAATTGTGATACATGATCGTTGTTCCCCTCTGTACCCATCTTTAAAATAACATGTATGCAAGAAAAAAATACATGTAACCCATCATGTCATACATTAATGTTAGTAGCCATACATTGGGTCTATCCTATTACCTGTAACAGTGGATGATGATGATGATGATGATGTAGAGGTCTTGTTCAAATATAGTGATTTGCTATGATTTGCTTGTTTACTGGTCCTGTTACAGGTGATTTTCGGACAGACCCAATGTCATACAGTATACATAGTATGGAAATCTGTGTAGCCCATCAAACCATCTCAGACCCATGGTGTGCTCCTTCTCAAACAGTCACCTCCCGCTGCTCCTGGCGCGCGCATCAGCTCATGCGGTCCCAGGTGCGCTCCACCTCTCGTCGGTTCATATCCTCATCGGTGCGGCCAGATCCGGTGCGGCCAAGCACAGCAGGCCACGCTGACAGGTGTTTTAAGCCAAGCACATCTGAGTTGTGTGCGTGTTGTGTTTTTTTACTATATTTACTGTGTAAACTCTGATCATCTGGCTTCCACAACCAGCTTTTTCGCCAAGGGCCGGCCGATCTCGGCGGGATCAAGGGCAGGGTCCCAGCTCTCAACGTCAACAGCTCATCGGCCGATGGTGGGGCATGCTTCGGGTCTTTCAAGCCCTCTTGACTATGGCGTACAAGTCCTTCGGAGAGACGACGATCGCTTCCTCTCTCCGGAAGCTGATCGTCGAGTAGAGGCGATCTGCTAGCGATTGAGGCCGGGAAGCAACAAAACACATCGGACGCCACCAGGGTAGAAGACAGAAACAAGAACCGAAAGAATGGCACAGCACATCAAACAATGAATTGTATAGATTATTATTTTCATCATTTGTCATCCACCCCCCTCTATGAAGAAGCTTTACAATCTAAATGGGAAGGATTACAATCCCAAAGGGGGTTCAATCAATCAAGAGTCTGCATTGATATCATCCTGGAGTCGATGGAATATGGCAAATGATATAAATACGTAATGAAATCGATATGTTCAACACTTCATATATGTGCAGTGCAGCCGATGGGTGAGACCCATGTCATTAAGGAATGAGACCACTGGTCACCCGATAGAGGAAATGCACGAATATACGGTATATGATATGCCTAGAACCTCAGAGACCCCCTGTTTTGGAGTCAAAACGTGGTCTTTTCCCATCAAAACAAAGGGTCAGATGGGTTCTAGGTCTATGTACTCATTCCTGCACGCCTGAACACGAACCACGCGAAAACCGAACCACGCGGACCTTGTCCATGATGCCCTGCTCTTTCAGCACTCGCAGTTCCTTCTCCACCTCTGCCACCTGAGAACTCGGACATCGTAAGCCGACAAACGGACGGCAAACAAAAAACGGTCCCGGTCTACAGTATACGCGTGGATTCAGGTTCAGTATAACAACGGTATAACTGTTTCTTGAAACATTGCAAAAACATGGCTCAACGAACGTGATGTTCATCCTCGTGTAGAGATAACAGGAGCTTCCCAAACATCCCTATATGTCACCTACCCTATGCTTCTTCTGGGTATTTCCTGGATCATTCAAGAACCTTAAAGACCTTAAAGGGATCGTTTGTTTCCTCGGCTTCCTCAACCATCTCAACCTGCTCCTTCCCCATCCGCCCCATCCGCTCCAAAGGGACTGAAATCTGCCCGTCGCCATCATGGTCCATGGAGATCTCAGTGCCACGCCGCCAAAAGACGCATGGATGTGATGTGCGTCTTGCCTCAACCCCTAGCTTCCTCTCAGAGATGAAACCGTCGTTTCCACTGATCCTTTTGGAAAACGCAAATTTTGTTGATGCAACACACAACTATGCCACTATGCACTCAAGAGCGTATGACCACCGCGCGTTTCGGCCCTGTGGAAATTCTTCCAGAAAGTGCGCCCATGTCCATCGGGCCCCATGAAGCACACGAAACGCATCTTCTGGACACGCATCGAAATCGAGAAATGACCATTCATCCAATGAAAAACCATGAATGGCTGTTCCAATGGAAAAGGTCAGGAATGACGTGCGTATAAGACTTATACTAATAAGATATAAGATACAATCATATTCTTATATATAACATATATAGTAACTGTAACTATATTGACATATTCCAATATGATCTGGCCCGAAAGAGCCCCGGTCATGTCGCATAAAGCCACCATCTTGATGATGGAATGACACATTTGAAGACGACGACACACGTCTGTAGAACACGCAAAGCACTGTCAAAACAAAATTGGAAACAACACAATCATACGGCAATCTAAGTAATGTCAAAGCAATATGTAATAATGTAATATGTATGAATAGAAATGATTCATTCAAACAATACAAAATGTAGCTATATTATGCTATATTTAAACAAATCTTAAACACAAACAGTGTGTGTAAAGCCATGTGTCATTCTTCAAAGCAAAACAAAATAATTTACATATTGGGTCTATCCTGTTACCAGGATCAGTGGATGATGATGGTTAGTAAAGGCCTTCCTCAAATTTGAGCATTGTTTACCTGCAAACAATATAGGACAAACCCAAACAACTTCAATGCACAGCGCAGGACATTGTAAACAGGTTGAAGTGTACGGATGTTCTTTACAATGTTCAAGACAAGCAATGCTTCGCTGGTTTTGGGCTGCATGTCTAGCACAGAAGCCTCTCAACTCACATGCTTTTCCTCACAGTCACAGTGAGGGTCTTGTTGGGGGTCAAACAAAAGCATTCCCAACTGACCCCCAGAATGGGGTTGTAGAGCCGCTCGTGCCTTCTTCCGGGGCGGCGACAGAAGGGTCTCTCCTTTTATGACACTTAAACCAATTCACACCCGCATTTCTTTCAGAGTGAGTTGCTGCCAACAAACATTGGCATCACTACCTGGTTAAGTGGCTTTGGAAGACCTGGCGGCCAGCTAATGTACGCCCCTCCTCCCCGACCGCCGTCCGATGCCATCTTATCGAAATCTGTTCAAGACTTGGGTGAGAAATAACGAAAAAGAAGATCGTTCGCCTTACTATCACTACTCAGGATACGGAAACGTATTGGAACCATGGTAGACGGCCGGTGATCAGAGGCGCTGCATAGATCGTTCCCATGAGTTTCCACTGGACACCGGACACCCCAAGGCAACAAACCAAAGGACCGGACCGCTTGATGTTTCACGAGTTCAAACCTGTGAAGCTTTCTGAATTGCCTCAGAATCTGCAGATCTTGGGTCTACCCTAGTACCTGTAACAGTGGATGATGATGGTTAGTAAAGGCCTTGTTCAAAAAAGGTGATATATGTTTACTGACTGTTACAGGTAAGAACGGACAGACCCAATGCATATCAACGGACTCTTAGAAAATAACACAAACAATTCTCTGCCCTTCTCTTTGTTCTTCGGCCGGGTCGACCCGAGTCGGCCTTCGTGACACTGGGCGCCCGGGCAAAGAGGTCCCGGGCCGCCTTGACATGGTCCTGAACGACTGAGACCGTCGGCCCCGCGACGCTTTTCGCGAAAAGCGAAGACGGTGACGGAAGAGGTGGGAGTCTCTGGATTTCGCGAACGTTCAATCTTGTGAATCAGATGGTCTCGGTTGGTTTAGTTTGTTTGACTCGATTCACTTGGGAGACAGGATCCTCGACCGCCATAGATGACCCTAGCTCTTGCATGCTCTTGTCTGCTGAGACTGCTGTGACGGTCTTGGAATTTCCAAGACGTCCATCTTGCGCAGCGTGTCATGACGAACGCCGTGAAATTCTGGTCGAAATATGACTATGATGAACATATGTGTCGTTCTCCATGGAGTGCGATCCTTCTGAGGTCAACATTCAGTCGATCGTTCAGTCAACAAAAGCAGTTTTTGGAAATCCGGTGAGACCGTCCTGATGAGACAACACACACACCATGGGTCCCGATGAAGACCCGATTGTGCTGTTGCTTTCAACCGCGAAAGCTGGGGGATACTATTGAAGCTATTTTATATAACTACTAACTTATATATTATTGTATATGGATGTATATGGTATATATATATATATTATAGAGATTTTAATAGGTAGACCCCCAACCAATGGGCATGTCTTTCTTCCAGGCGATCGAACAGGTCTCCCTATGATTTAGACACAGCCTGTACTCAACCGAAAACTGTGGGACACAGACGAGGCCTGTCTGAAACAGAAGCTGTTTCTAATTCATTTTGTCAGCTCAATCCTCCAAAGAGTCCCTCCACACCAATTCTCGCAGTGTGGGTTTCCTGCGGACAACCATGCGTACCTTGCAACCTCACACATCCTGAAAGAAAAAAACAACAGTATACCGTATACCTGTTCTCCCTTATCTTTCAACCAATCCTGTCTCTCCCCAGTCCGCCGCACCCGTTCTCCCCCAGCGCGGCCCAGGGACATCGTTCAAAAGGCTGGCGATGGTCGTCAGAGCGGCCCGCCTAGGACGTCGGCACCCGGCGACTGATGAAGGTGGTCCCAAAGCCCCCAGGAGGAGCCCCCCCTGACTGGTGGGACCAGGGCCAAGGGCGCCAAGGCAAAGCGGAAAAACGACAGGCCCCAACTGTGCAATCGGGCTGGAGCTGGTCGGATCGAATATGTGACACAGTGGTTTTAGGCGAATAGTAGTAGTACGGCCAGGAGCCCCGTTCGGAGCGTCCGAACGCTCCTAGTAGTATATACTTACGCAAAAAGATCATGGCCTACACCGAAATGCACCGAAACTGACGGCACGGCACTTGGGCTCCAAACTTCAACCGATTCTGGGAACGGAAGGTCTTGAGCTCATCCAACAAGCCGTAGCCTCAGTGGTCTCCCAAGGGGTGCTGCGGGTCTCTCAAAGATTCTCCAATGAGGTCAATACCTTGAAGTTGGAGCAATGCAAAAACATCAAAAACATGCCATATGGCATATGGGATCCACGGAATTATTGAATCGCAATCCCAACAAAAACCGTTATTATGTATCTGTCATGTGGTTGAGGGAAACATGAACATCAGCTTCACCTCCATTGCACCTCCATTTGGTGAAGCCGCTGGTTCGGGTTCACGTGACAAAAGGTTTCTTCGTCCAATCCACCACATATCCTTCGCATGGCGCTGAACCCAGGCGATGCAAAGCATGGCAGTGCCTTCTGTTTGATGATCCGCTTAACCTCAACAGTGAAATTCAAACAATCTTAGGAAATAACATACAAAAAATCAATATACACATGGTCTATCCCTAGGCCTGTAGACCTTACTCAAAAATCCAAAATGGTGCCCAACCGCTGCGTCCTCACACACTGGGGCATGGAAAAATCCCAAAGGTCCCAGCATAGGAAACGCTGGCACTGGTCAGACGTCCCCCTGCAACATGTCAGTTAACGCTCCAAAAGTGTGTTAAATTAACTACATGACGCCTGAACATACCTCCAAAATTGAAGATACAACTTCGTCAAACCCATCTTTGGTGCCCACACGCGCTGGGAACTCCGTTTGTGTTGGCAAGTTCTTGAGGATGAAATTGTCCTGCAGGAACTGTTTTTTTAGTTCAGCTGAGCACTCACCAAAGAATAACACCACATCAATCACACAATTAGCGAATCCATTGGCTGAATATATGTTCAAAGCATGGACTATCGATGTGTTCAACTGTTTTCTCTGACCTAGTTTCAGCGACAAACGTAATTGCAAAAAACTGCGATAAAAAAACACCTTGTTTGCGAACATGGACCGCCAGCACCTTTAAACCAGCTTTAAAAAGGTGACGAACCAACGCAACACCACCTCTGAACTCCCTCGTTTGGCCGCACTGGCCGCAACCCGACGCCTGGAGAGCATTCTTTGCAGATGGCCTTTGTGGGGCGCGGCTCAGCAGTTTCTTCACAAAGACCACTGCGTCCTTACAATGAAATCGAAGCGCACACGCCTGTCCTACATGTCATCGTTTTCTGGTCTAGATGGACATGACAAACCCAGTCCTGAGAAGCATCGCACCAATACTTTGTGAATGCGATGTGGCATCTTTTGATCTGCGAACGGGACGGACATAGAAGCACTCGGTCAAAAATTGACCACATTTGTGAAATTCACATTCGAAAAGGAATCCTTTTGGTGAAAACATTTCAATGATGTCTAGGTCATTCCCGGACCAAGGTTGGGTGGTTGCGAGCATGAATATGTTTCAAATCAACTGTGCGGCGTGGTATTGAAATAAATAACCTGCTCGCACATGCACAAACGGACCGTCGGATATTCCCAAATTGCATTGCGCCACTCTCCGATGTGAAGCGTGCAAAGTGGCAACCAACCGCATTGTGAACAAACCACAAAAATCCAAAGTGCGACGAACCTGTTACTTTCGAAAACACAATTTAGTTTAAGTTGCACGACAAACTCCGCAAATACACAAAACAACGCGACATTGGCTATACGCGCCACAAGGCAACACAAACAAAAACAATCCCCCTACAATCTGCGTGGTCCCCCCAACCTTTTTTTTTCAGCACCACGGGTCTTCCGTTTGTAGCTGAGTACCAACAACTTTGACAACGGTTCTGAGTTGAATGTTCATTGTATATTAATCCACAGCCCTGCCAGTTCGCCGGCGGGACCAGCTACACACTTCACTAGATGAAAGCCAGCCTCACTCATTTTCAGTCGCTGGGAAGATGGGTCTCACATTGGTGGGGCACCTGGGGCATGTTAGACGCAGTCCAGCAACAGCTTTTGCACGTCGCTTTTGGCAGGCCAAAGTGGTCGCTCCTAGCAGCTTCTTGGCAGCGCGTCACTGACCTCGCCCTCTTTCGCGCTTGGAAAAACGTGCTGAGGAAGGCTGCCCGTCACCACTGACAGGTGGCTGGTGACTACCTAAAGCTTGGACTCGTGCACGTGTTCGCTTCGTCCAAAGATAGGAGGTACGGCGTGCGTGCGGTAAGTGTGTTCATATCCCTGAATTTTGACCTAGCATGTTCCTGTAGTTGTTGTCTAACAGTCAAGCACAAGTGGGCAGATCATGGCAGGTCGCCTCAAAAGTTGAATGTCAAAACCAAAACGAGCAAGGATGAAGACCCCGAAAACAGTGGCTTGTTGTGCTGGAGCCCGAACCGAGTTCGATGATTTCAGGTCGGTCTCTACTTCAAGTTCTGCTGGATTGTTACAATGAGAGCCCACTCAAGATATGATAAAGCACTTGCTGAAAATAAACATAGCTTAAAGTGGAAAGTTATTTATGCGAAAGAAAGTGTGAGTAAGATATCAGAAAGCAAGTTGCAGAAGCTATTCCCCACGTGTCAGGTGAGGCTTGTTAGATTTTATGTCAGCCACCGCGCTGTCCTCCTCCTCCTCCTCCTCCTCAACCGCGCATGCAGGACGGCAGTGTTCCCCGCCGGACCGCAACAGCCAGCTCAGGATGGCAGCGTTCCCCGCCGGACCTCAACCGCCAGCCCCGGACGGCTGTTCCCCGCCAAACCTCAACCGCGAGCTGCGTCGGGCAGTGGTCCCCGCCTGACCTCATCCGCCAGCTCCGGACGGTGGGTTCCCACCGGACCTCAACCGCCAGCTCCGGACCGCCAGCTCCGGATCCATGGTGGCACGGGCAAAGGGATGTGATGAGAGGTGCGCCGACCTGCGGTTTTCCAAGCAATGCGATTTTGTTGACTGTTGACTTTGATCGACATTGATAGGGCTTGAGCACGAAACTGTATTTCCATGCTAGTGCATAGTACATGCCTGACTTTGCCCATACTTGGCTCAAGATAAGGGCGCTCTACTTGTTAATGCTTTTAGCCTGTTGGCCTGTAAATTGAGCAGCCGCTTGAGTAGTCTTCGCTTGACAGGCATGGGATCTGGCAAGGGTGTCCTACCTTTTTGCGTTACTCCGTGGTCGGGCTTCGTAGTCGCAGCCTTTCATTTTTGAGGTGCAATGGGTAAGGGCACCTGATGGCAGGGGGAACGATCTTCTTTGAAAGCGCAATCACGTGGATGCTCTGGGAATTAAGGCTGCGTGCAGCTGTGCGTGGCTACAGTAAAAACAATTCAAGTATGTATACGTAGCAACAAGCCGACGGCCATCATTTTCTGACATCAAGAGGGCATCGCTTTCTTCGCTTTCTCATCAGTGTACTCAAACTTTTAGCTATAGTCCTTGAGTTGGCCGAGTTCATCAGTTACTCCGACGTATCCAGTATGAGCACAATCCTCAACGCCGGCTCTGACGGGAGGACCTCTTCAAAGTATGGGTGCCCATGAAATAGGTTGGGCCATTTCGATCGCCGCGCATGGTCAGAGCCAATTACAAGTAGGATCTCAAAGCTTGAAGCAAGCAAGTGAAAGACTCTGGCAAAAGCTCAGGATTTTGGCTGTGGCTCAGGTTATCATATATAGGAGCAAAGATGTCTATGCTTGCGCTGTGCGAACTGGCTGAATAGTGGAACTGGCTATTTGGTAGGCCGGCCGTTGCCAAATAGCGAAGCTTGCGGTAGGCCGGGCGTTACCAAGTAGCGGAAGCTGCGGTACCACTATCTGAGCTACAGCAACGGCAAACACGATGTCGTGTCTACGTCTTGGCTGGGAACAGGACGTTGGTTGGATTGCGTCGTTGAATCGGTGCGATTCGCTAAGCCGGTGTAAACCGGTGTCAGTCGGAAAGCCGGCGCGGTCAAATAATGTCAAATTATATCCAGACGCGCGCGATGTCGCAATGAAACCAGCCATCTGAGCAGGTTTCAGATGGCCTTTTCTCTTATGCCATCTGTCCGTGATTCTTGCTGCCTAGCCAACCTACGGACTAAGTAGGAAAAAACGGCTGGCCTTCGATCTCTAGATCGAGAACGGGCCAGTCTGCAGCGGAGTCAAGTAGTTATATCCGGCAGAATCAGCCAACTAGCCATATCCAAGTATACAGTACATGGCGGAATCAACCAGCAAAAGTCTGCGGCTGAATCAGCCAGCCACCTATCCAAGTATCCGGCGGAGTCAGGCAGCCAGCCACCTATCCAGAAAATTTGTCAGATTGAAATATAATGGTGGGGATCATTCGAAGTAAATAGCTTGTTTTTTTGCAAAAAAGAAGAACACAGGGCGGACCACCACCAAAAAAAAAGAGTGCAGAAACATGTTTTCCTTTTTACTTACTTTGTTACCTTGGGGGGACTCTCGTTGTACGATTGGTGGCAAAGTGGCCAGCAGCACACCGCGCTATGGGTTCAATCGATTCAATCCAGAGGCAGTCGGGCTGTAAGCAAGCTCTGCCTGTGGTTTGGCAGTGCTTGCTGGCAGTTGCTTGCGCAAAAAAGCAGTGACACCATCGACCGCAATCCGTGATCGACTCGATCGACCCAGAATCCTGTTCCAGGCGGAAGTGACAGGACTTCCTCCGGGCCTCTTCCTCTTTGCCAAAAGGAAGATTCCCACAGATCAGGTTGTACCTGCCAAGGGTTCTGGAGGGACGTTTCAATCTAGATTAAGCCAGGGTGGATGGTTGATGCACAATGCCCACGACCTTCCATGAATATCATAAATGAAAACTACTCACTTTTGGATCATAGTGGATCCCATTTAGTAACAGTAGTTCAAACAGTAGTGCAGTCCTGCTAAACTAGTTCAGCGACCAAAGCTGGTCGGTCTATGTCCACCGACTTGTGGCACAATTAACCCCTGCTCAGACTAGAGCTACTTCCAGTCATGTTTCATCCATGGGTACACTCATCAACTGCACTGCGACAACCGTGGGTTGTCTCAGCAAAGAACCATCTTCAGTGCTGGCCTTCGAGCTCAAAGAACCACCAGGAACCGGGCCCTGACCACTTGGCAGGGGTGCCCCACCGCGCCAGAAAACACGCGCACATGATGATGCCACATGCCCACACATCGCAGGACTGGGTGTACCTGGTGGAAGGGGGCGTGCGAAGCGATGCGAAGCAGCAATGTGATGCGTGGCCGCATGGATGTCGCACCTCCTGTCCAAATCTGGCTCATTGTTTCCCAGCTTTTTTTGAAGCAATGTTTTCCGATCTGAAGGGAGGACAAAGTCACCCCATGGCATCAGTGTGTGACTCAAAGCACCCCCCAGAAGCCTGGGTGTCCACCTCTTCATACCTGTTTCTACCTGCTCCGTTGTCGGTCCTTTAAACCTCGGGTTTTCACACCGAGGAAACCTCAGTCCTTTAAACATCTGACTCCACCGTTTAGCGCTCGCCCAGCGATCGTGCGGTCGTGCTTCCCTTTGATTAGATGGGTCAGTGATTGAGGTGCGATGAGGTGAATCATGGTGAATCTAAGGGTCACTATACTAGTTGATACTTTCCAAAACTGGTGTTTTTTTCCCAATGATTCACGTGATTCATAGATTTTGGAAAATCAACATGTGTGATGTGGTTCCTTCCGGTGCGGTGCTTCGTTCGCTCCTTTTTCTCCGAACGTCCGAATCGCCCTTCGCCGACCGTCAACGGAGACGGCAGCCTGAGATGAACGAGCAGCGCGCTTGGATGTGGGAAGGAACTGAAGATGAGCCAAGAGGTGCCAAGAGGTGCCAAGAGGGGTGGGGTATTCACCTATTTACATCTCCAAAATGGACCTCATTATTCGGACCACCTTGATTTCGAGATATCTCGATGGACCTCTTGCGACCTGGCTCCGACCAGCCATCCATCGCCTCTCGACCACGCCCGACCACGCTCGACCATCGTCCATTCGCTCCGACGAGTCTGCCCCGAAAAGGAAGGCCCGGACCTCAAATCGGATCCAAACAGTTGACTCTCCAGCGCTTCGGCTAGGGCTAGCCCGGACCTACGCTAAACCGGTCAACCCCCTAGCCCGGCTCCAAAGGTAAGTAGTACTAGTAGCATGTAAAGCATGTAGTAGATCTTGATGCACAGCTAGCTTTTTGAGAAGCAACCCTAAACCGTTCCCAGTCTCCAAGCTGAAATGTAGTTCTTTGCAAAGACTGCCACCCTTTCTCCAAGACAAACATGCAGTTGTACTGCCAAAATTTGAGTTGATACAGTCTGTGGTACATTTAAATGCCTTTACCTCGTGTGAGGATCTTTTACGTGAAAAACAAGCACTGGTTATTTGATGTGTGATTGTTATTTTTGTGTATGGAGGAGGGGGTTTAGGAACTTTGACCTATTGGTATGTCAAGTCCTGTACACTGTAAAATTCATTACCTAGCACTCTTGATTTTTGTTCCATAGCCTCCAGGATCCCCGTTTGAATGAAGGACGGCCACAACTACAACAAATTCATACAACATCAACACCTTGGACGCGTTTTGGCGCCTCTACTCGCGCGGAGGTGGAACTTGGTTGAAGCTCGGTGGCGAAGCATGGCCTGGGCAGCCCGACCGAGTCATGACAAAACATGTGTCAGTTCTGTCAGCTAAAAATTGTGGGGTCTGTGGGGTTCTTCAAAATGATGTGCTCTAAACCCGTCCAAACAAAAAAAACGTGAAAAAACTCACTATGCTGGGCTCCAACGTGTCATGGGTTTGTGCCCCAACTGTCTCACTATGCTGTGCACCCGACCCAACTGTCTACGTTGGGCGCCATGGTGCCATGGTCCACCGACCAGCGTGGATCCCCGGGACCTGTTCTCGAACGGAACCGCGAAACAGCTTTGGAGGCCTTTTGGCGCGAGGCGCAGTCGACGTGTCAAAAACACAGAACGAAAGCCCTCTCCCCCGCAAACAAATGATCTTAAAGATCGAGGCCCGGTCTTGAAGGCTGAAGGTCCTTTCTTTTTGTTGTGTTCTGTTGATTTGTCATTCAATGCCTTTCAATCCATCCTGGCCAGCCTGGTGGGCTCGCTTCCCGTGGCGGCACTTCTTGAAAGGACACCACTCCTGAAGCTTCGTTGCATTCGAACCAAAGAATCGCAGGGCTCCAAGTACCTTCTTGAGAAGGTGTTTGTGGTGGTTTTGGAGGGTCCAAATACCTTCTGAGGCACTTGGAGCCCTAGGGGTGAGCAAAAAAGCAGAACATGAGCCTTGTGTTCTGACCTGTTTGGTGCTTCAATTACTATCGGGGAACCAAACAGCATGGTTTGTACTGAATGCAGTGGTGCAACCGCAAATTGCGCCAATCTGGGAACTCCCTCTGCACGGTGTGACTCTTATCAGTCCATTTCCTTGGTTTCTGACTACGAAAACATGCGGGGGCCTATCTTTTGTGACATTCACTCGATAGTCTAAATCAACAACATCCAAAGGGAACTTGGTTTGACATCCAGCAGGATGATGATCCACAGCATACAAAGTGACCTCGGATGATATGATTCAAAACAAATAAAAATATATATATATATAAATAAATAAATCATATAAATCATATGTTAAAAAAATATATATATATAAATAACTAACACCTGTTGTATGTCTTCAACAGCTTCCGCTCTCTCCGTGCAACTGCTCTCCCACTCGCCCGCAAACTTCGAACTCCTGCCTGGACTCGGGCTGCTGGTGGGTGGTGGAACCTCTTGGAAGTGGTTCACAGGCGCACCACCTGTCAGCTGGGTTGTGAGGAACATATCTGTCAACATGCGATGCTTGTTGACAATGGATTCACCTGATCTGTTTGAGATTTCCATGCGCGTGGCAGCGATGTGATTATATATGAGTTTGACGTTCAGTGTCTGATTCGATGTAGGTGGGTCGTTTTCTATGTTTTCTTGGCGGTTTATACATAGGATGATTGTACATCCAATAGCCAACCCCCCCATGGCAGCGATCGTCGGATCGTCCGGTCTCTCCCAAAACCGTCCATTCGGTGGATCGCCGAAGGAACGGACTCGTTCCTTCGAGCGGTTTCACAATGCCCAAACACTCCATAGGACTGCCATATATGCTTGCTTACATTGGGGTGGTTTTGGGGGGGTCAATGTAGGCATATATGGCATGGAGTGTCTGGGATGGGGTTTCACAAGACTTTATAAACTCGCCATTTAACGTAACCTGTTTGCCAGGGTTTTACAAGTCGAGTGGCATGGGCCGAGTTTGCAAGCAAGGAACCACAGTTGCCGGTCTTGGCTTCAAGCTTCTTTCCATGTGACTTGCTTTGTGGTCAACTCCAGATTTACTCCCCAATACACCTTATTTAGCCAAGGGTTTCTCTCACTCTGTCCCACTCCCCAGACCTGCAACGGCCACGGGTGGCATCGATTCTGTAGAAGGTGGGCTGAGTCCGGGCACAGGCAGCGCAGGTCGCGCGCCAGCAGCGGGCACGCCTGGAACACCTGACGAGCCAAAAAGGACGCGACGATGAACACCCCCATGGATACAATATGATACAATGAGCTAGGCAGAGTTCATATGACCCCAGGCGGGAAAATGATGTTTTTATCGGGTCATCATTGTTTGGGTCACCGACGTTCATGCCATGGTGTTCCATGCGCGGCCCTGGGAAATCATCATCTTTCATCGGTTTCACAACATGTTCACCGGCTTCACACCATGATCATCGGTTTCACAACATGATATATGATCGTCGGTGTCATCACATTGTCAGACAGGCTTCATGTCGCCGGCTTCACAACACCATCGGTTTTCACATATTCCACCGTCTTGGCAGGGAACATGTCCGCACGGCTTGGCGTTGTGCTTTTAGTTGGTTTGGGCCGTGGAGACCGGTGCGTCATATCGCGTCCGCTTATACCGAGCCTGAAACATGCCCGCTCTGCGTGGCAAACGAGCATTTTGCTGCTGCTCTTGCTGCGTGTGGCGCAGCTGACCTCCCCAGATCCTTCTTTGGAATGCCTGTGGCAAATGAATGCAAAAGAGCTGGATTCGTACCTGCAGGCTGGATTCTAGCTTCACGTTGTGCCGGAGACAATGCGGCTGATTCCATGGCAGCAGTCTTATGCTGGGCCAATTTGTTGATTATGTAATACCTCTGCTTCTGATCCAATTGAGCATTGCAACCTGTTGGCAGTTCATAGACTCAACAAGAAGGCCTGGTCTACAAAGCATTCTGGATGCACTGGCCCTCTTCATTGAGAACCACTGATAAGATCTGATATGCCTCAACCTGCGCAAACATGATTGAAATATGTTCGCGCACGTCGATACCTGATTCAACCGTTCAAGCATCTGGCTAATTGTTGTTGTTTCCTGAGTTTGTTCTCAATTTGTGTGTGTCTTCTGGGGGCCCGCTTTGTGAGTTCTGTGTTTCATTTTGAATAACATAAATGTGTTGAACACATCGTTTTGTGCGACAAATGCACAAGCGCCGACCTTTTCTTAGCTGTCCAAGGAGGATGAATCGGAGCTGTCTGAGCTGGAAGTGTCCTCGCCTTTGAGGTTTTGTTGGGTCAATTGCCTTTGGCGAAGGCCCTTAAAACGCTTTTTGGCAAGCTCTGCTTCATAGCATGCAATCTTGCTGAACAAATTGGTCTTCAGGCATGAAGGTGCTCAGCTCAGCCTCCCGATTGATCAGTGTGTCTTTCTGGAAGCACTTTTGCGTGTGTGTTCCAAAATGGAAGTCTTTGCTAGCGCATCTCTATACCGCATTGCTAGAGCCTAGCCCTCTGCTTGCTTCGACATCTCTCTGCATGTTTCGACATGTCCGCAGCACTGAAAGCACAAAGTTGACAAAAACATAAAGAACTGCAGCGCCACTCTGACAATGAACGCACAGCAGTTACTTGGCAACGACTTGCAAGCACTGGTTTGTCAGTCTCCACATGCCAAAAACAGCACATCTGAAAAATAACAACATATTGGCGCGAAACCCATGTAGCGCGAAGCTAGAGCCAAGCTAGCGCCCTGCTGGTGTTTAGCACGCTTTCCATGGGGGCCCGCTTCAAAACAAACTTGAAAAACACACCCTCAACATGAAATACAAACAACACTACATCAAACATATTCAAACATGAAACCGCCCTTTTCGGACGCG